CTTAAGGAAATCAGCCCTGAGTGCTCACTGGAAGGACAGATCCTGAAGCTGAGGCTCCAATACTTTGGCCGCCTCATGAGAAGACCTCCTGGAAATGGGAAAGACTCATGTTCGTAGCTTCGAGAAGACCTCCTGGAAATTTCCTGATGTTGGGAAAGAGAAGGGGACGACAGAGGACGAGATGGTTGGACAGTGTTCTCGAAGCTACGAACATGAGTCTGACCAAACTGCAGGAGGCAATGGAAGACAGGAGTGCCTGGCGTGCTCTGGTCCATGGGGTCACGAAGAGTTGGACATGACTAAACGACTAAACAACAACAGTAGTGTTTTACCTTGAGAACAATGATTGTCCCTGTTTTATTTTTTATTTTTAAGGAACAACTTACTGTGGCTTCTCTTGAAAAAGACTTGCATTCTCCTCCATTGAGAATACAACTCAATACACCTTGCAGCATGCTAATTTTAAATGCTGTTTGTAATATCTTATGAAATAGATTTTCTAGGGTGTTTTTCCCCTCTCCATACACCATACCGACTATGTCAAAGCCTCAGTGCTAAATCCCTTAACAATTTCATTGGCATATCTAATCGAGTTACATAAAGATTTAAGTCATTTGGGGAGCCGCGGTGCCTCATCCGCAGCTTTACAGCAGACGGTAATTCCATTTATTGAAGGCTTGAAAGTATTTAGGTTTAAAATGCAGAAGACAAGAAATGACTCAAGCTTCCAAGGCAACACATCTTATGAACCAGTCCAGCGAACATTCAGGCCTCGGGGCAATAGGGGTGGCAGTGGGTGAGTGGCTACACAGAGCCAACAGATGTCCAACAGCAGGGGGGAAACTTATGGTGAAGAAACACCCCACAGCTTGGAGGGAGGGTTGCTGAGGAGCTTTAAGGTGTGCAGGAAAGGGAATGGCAATGGAGAAGGCATAAGTGTGTGTGTATGTGTGTGTGTGTGTGTGTGTGTGTGTCAGAGACATGGTGTGATGGCCTGGGAATCCGATTCAGAGGCTGAACCTGAGGGATCCCAGCCTGCACAGGAGTCCCCGCCTCCAGGGCCAACTGAGCTGGGGCAGGGGCTTGAACCTGAAGGGCCCTTACCTGTGCCGGATCTTCAGGAGCAGACACCAGCTGAATCCACTCTGGCTCTGGAGCTGATCGAGGACTCATTGCCTGCAGGTGCTCCTCTCCTAGCCCTGTCAGGGGAAGGTGAGGTTGCCTCTGGGTCCAGTAACCCTCCAGCCTCTCCTGAGCTGCAGAGGCTCAGGGCAGAGAGGCAGAGGGAACAAAGTTCTCACAGGAGGAGTGCTCGCCTTAAGGCCAGGAGAGGCGAGTCACCTGTGGGCTGGGACCGCCCTATGCCTCAGAGGAGATAAAGGCCAGTCAGCCCAGTCCCAGGTTGCGGGAGCAACATCGTTGGTAACCTGTTCCTCCCAGCACCCTGTCCTGCTCTTCCAGAGTTCCTGAACATGCCCGGCTCCTTGCCTTGGACCCCGCTTCGCCCTTGACAGACAGCCTCCATACCCTCAAGCTAGGACTGGACTCAGACCACGCCGCGCGGTAACCGCCCCCCAGGACCAACACACATGGCCAACAGAGAGGAATCTGCAGAGGGGGAGGAAGAGGCAGAGGAAAATAGAAACTTGATTCTTTCATGCAGTGAAAGTGAGATATGCCCTTCTCGCTCTGGATTGCTGCCTGTAAGTTTTCGCAGCAGCACAGAGATGAAGGAGCAGGAGGCAAGTGGTGGGAGGGAGTTGGATTCAACTCCCGAGGAAGAGGAATAGGCTGCGCCTGAGTCTCCAAGAAGTAGGAGGCGGAGCAAGCGATAAGAAGAAAGGACGACCAGCAGGAAGCAGGGGTGGGCCTGGGGTATATCTGGCCTTGGGGAGGGCAGGAAGCCAGTCGAGTCAACTGACTCTGACAGTGATGAATGAGTTGTGGGAAGCTCGGATTGCTGGAAGCGTGTTATTGCTAATAAACCTCAGCTAGTTAAACTGCCAGAATGTTGTGTCTTGTGTGAGAGAAGTGCTAAACCTGACAGTGTGTGTACACTTTCTCATTAAAGGTAGACTTTTTGTTACTGGAATTTTTATTGGCTAAGTCAAGCAAACAACGAGAAATGGAGCAACAGAGAAGAACCATAAAACTATATACATTGGTACCTTGGTTTTCAAATGTAATCTATTCAGGAAGACCGTTCGAGTTGTGAAATGTTCAAAAAGACTGTTCGAGTTGTGAAATGTTCAAAAACTGAAAACTCAATAGCCAACAGCTAGGCCTCAGGATCTTGCACTCAGTGGAAGTCACGTGGCATGTTCAACTTCCGAGTTGTGTTCGAAAACCAAAGCATTTACTTCCGGGTTTACGGTGTTCAAAAACCAAAATGTTCATCAACGGAGACGTTCGAAAACCGAAGTACCACTGTAACTCTATGTCTTGGCTCTATGTGTACCGTAAATTATGAGATGATTCAGGGAAGCTTCCCATGTTCCTGAGCCCTTCCCGACTCAACTCTGCCCCCTGTTTGGTCTGGTGTGAGTGACCTTCTTCATATTTCATTTTTTCCTGTCATCGCTTAATATCACTATTACTTGTTAACACTATACTTTGCAGTCATCATCACCATCATTTGTTGTAATTACAAGTTGGAAAATAGTACAGCTACAATTCAACGTTTCCCCCTCCTACTTGCAATCTTGTCCTGTATGGCTTGGTGTGAACAGGACGCAGCACCAGAAATCCTTCTCACTGAGCCTCAATATTTTCCCAATATTATCATCAGTGTTATTTACATTTCCTCTACTGTTAATCTGCAAGTTAAAAAGATGCACTCTCTCTCTCAATGTTCTTTCCTTGCTGCTGGGTCTGACTTTCTGATGTTTCAGCTAGAGAGGTCCAAGAGGTTCTCTTTGCTGTGACTCAATAATTTCCCATCATTCTGATGGCAAACAGGATTGGAAGAGTGATTATTCACATTCCAGATTGTGTTTCCTTTTGTTAAAAGATAAATAAATCTGCATGGAAATTCATAGGGAATTCCCATGTGCATTTCTCCTAAAAGACACATTTCCTCTCATATAATGCATTTTGTTCATTGTTTTCATGAATATCAGCGCTTGTATCTGTATGTGTTCTTTTCCCTAATATACACATTTTTTGTACATTGCATTGCAAAATTCAGCCAAAGACATAATGACTTTTAAAAGAGGCCTTTTTGGACTGTAAAAATATTTTAGCGATATGAAATCGTGCACAGAATTTGAGAAATGAGCAGCGTGGGTGGGATGAAATGATGTTAAGATGGACTTAGGGGGGTTAGTAACAAGTATAATGCAGCAACTAAGGATAAGAATAAAAACACCAGTGCAGAAGGGGTGGGGAGTCAAAAAGAAAAAATATAAGTGAATGATACATTGTCTGTGTAGTGAATTTTTTAAAAAGTTTTGAAAAACCCATTAAAAATTAATAATAACAAAATTCGGCCAAGGGTGAATTTTGTGGTTCACATCCTGCATTGGTTCAGAACGTCCAAATTAGGTTGGTTCACGTTAACTCCAGAGTTTACTCCCATCCCTCGAGTGAGCAACCTGCTCCTACTTTCAGAGCTCTTGAACTTGGCTGCAACACCAAGGGTTGCTTCAGCTCAGCAATAGCCTTCACCTCAGCCTGTCTTGAAGAATACATTTCCCTATGCATACATATATATATATATATATATATATATATATATATATATATATAAAGGTAAAAGGTACCCCTGCCCGTACGGGCCAGTCTTGACAGACTCTAGGGTTGTGCACCCATCTCACTCTATAGGCCGGGGGCCAGCGCTGTCTGGAGACACTTCCGGGTCACGTGGCCAGCGTGACAAAGCTGCATCTGGCGAGCCAGCGCAGCACACGGAACGCCGTTTACCTTCCCGCTGGTAAGCGGTCCCTATTTATCTACTTGCACCCGGGGGTGCTTTCGAACTGCTAGGTTGGCAGGCGCTGGGACCGAGCAACGGGAGCGCACCCCGCCGCGGGGATTCGAACCGCCGACCTTTCGATCGGCAAGCCCTAGGCGCTGAGGCTTTTACCCACAGCGCCACCCGCGTCCCTAATATATATATATATATATATATATATATATATATATATATATATATATTTGCATTCCTGACTGAACACTGCTGTCTTGTTTTATAAAACATCTTTGGGGAGAAGAAATGTGCCAAACTTGTTTCAAGGCCTGCCAATGAATGTCACCTGAAGGTGTGTCGCCCTCACTGCTATCTTTTTTTGTTCTGTTTCAATGCGGCTGCCTTCATGCGTTTGAACCCTTTCACATTACATTTTCCAATAAATTAATAAGCAAGAATGAGAGAAAACATGATAGGCAATCCGTGTGCATCTCACACAGAGAGCTCTTGTTTGGTTACCTCTGCCTTCTTGTGTGAAAAACAAGGAGAGTGTGAAGCCAAACCAGAGAGAATAGCGTAATGAATGTTTCTATGGCTACAAGGGGAGTTGCTGTGCACTGAGCCTTTTCGATGAAGACATTAAGACAGTTTGACAAAGTACCAGTAAAGAGGGGAGAAAGGAAAGCTAAAGAACTGAGAAAGGTCAAACGTGGACTCGACACTTGTACAAAGCATGTCACTTTTATTTGATTATGAAGAGGCCTGCAAATTAATATGCCATTGTGCAGTGGCGTAGCGTGGGTTGTCAGCACCCGGGGCAAGGCAAGTAATTTGCGCCCCCTAACCCGTGGATTTGCGCCCCCTAACCTGTGGATTTGCGCCCCCTAACCTGTGGATTTGCCCTAACCCCAGATGTTGCGCCCAGTGCGGCTGGCCCCCCCTGCACCCCCCACGCTACGCCACTGCCATTGTGGCAATAGTAACATTTCCAGTTTTAATACTATTCCTTCTCTGAGTTCATGGGAGTCATGGTTAAGAAAAATATACAAATCTGTGCTTTTTCTTTCTTTCTTTCTTTCTTTCTTTCTTTCTTTCTTTCTTTCTTTCTTTCTTTGATATCATACATGATGTCACTTAACAATAATTTTTACTGACAGCAGCAGATCTTCAGCAAACTGGAAACCCAGAGCTGTGAATCCTATAGGCAAAGAGGAACAGTTGAGAGATCATTTACCAAGCAAAAGGAGATTGGTGAGTAGAATTAAAGTATGTTCTTACTGCTAAGCAGGGTGGGCTTGGGGAGGGGAAAGTATGACAGGCAGCACATTTTCCCCCAGACCCTTCTTCCACAAGTGGCCAAATTTCTTAAGCTTTTCTGTTGCAAATTCTTCATAAGGCCAAGAGTCATGACACACCACGTTCCTTAACATCTCTGTAGAGTGCCTTCTAAACCTCCTTTCCCCCTTCCAGCACACTTCTTTCCAACCAGTGGCATGAGGTAAAGGATGGTTGCCCCAGCCACAAAATTTCAACCCCTGGTGCTGCCTCAATACATCTGTGTGCTTCCATTGCTGGGCTCCATTGAAAATGGTTTCTCCATGCAAACCAGGAAGTGACCTCTGTAGACAATGAAACTACTCTTTTTTAAAAAAAATCTCTGTGGCTGCAATCTCCTGGGTGATGCGGATGCCATTAGGCAGTTCAATGTGCATGCATTTTCTTGGTCCCCCTCCCTCCCAATACCCCTCTCCGTAAGGACCCAGGCACTAGCAAACCATGTTATGCCACTGTTTCCAACTCCAGACTTGCTTTCTTCTCTCTCACAAGTCCCAGCTAAACTGTTGCTTCCTTTCCCCACTCTCCCAGCCTTGGCATCCAGGGATAATATGTTACTGTTTCTAACCTGTTCTCTCCTATGCTTCCTCTGCCCAATGACTGGCTGGTAGCTGTGAGCCATTGTGACCTCAGAGTAGCTGGAGGCGCCATGACTTCCAAGCCAACTACTGATGTTGCAGAACTCTCTGTTGCCTGGTTCAGAATGTAAGTCTGGCCAGCTTGCCATTCTTACATATACAACAAATTGAATGGCTTCCCTCAGAAATTCTTCTGCGGCTTAGAAGGACTCCATACAGAGACTTTCCCCTTCATTTTCCTTTTTCTCCAAGACATAGCTAATAATTGTATCTCAGGCAAAGCCCCACATAAAGCTCCAAGTGAGGAGAGGAGATTAAGCCTAAAGGAACTGTGGGCAAACCCAAGAAGAAACAGAACCTTGCAAGGGAAGTAGCTCTACTACTCATGCATCTCTCTAATCAAGTTCCATGAAGCTTTCCCTGTGGGTGTGATGCAGATAAAAGGAAACATGACTTTAGAAACCTTCACTTGTGGCCTGATGGATTGACCAAATAATGAAAAGACAGAAACTGCAGAGTTGAAAACACTGTTAAGCAAGGCAAACAGCACCAAGCATTGCAAAACCTAAGGGGTTATTTACAATACAAGAGTAAACAGCTGTGGGCAGTGCAGAAAAACATTCATCCACAAGAAGCAGCAATTTCCTGTTGTGTCAAACCCAGGGCCAGGTTCAGTATCTGCAGCTTATTTTCCTTTGTGCATATCCAGTTTTAGCTCAAGCCATCTTCAAAAATCTGGGACTCCAGTTTGGATGTCTTAGTACATATTTATTTAAACCCCACCATTTCCCCTCAAGATGACTTGCAGCTAAAAATAAGAAAAAATAGAAATATACAAAACCTCAGAGCTTCCCGCCTCCTCCCAGGATCTAGATATGCCAATCGAAGTCTGTCTTTTGGTCTTATTCGTGTTTATTCAAAGGCAATGGATGGTTTGTACCCCTTCCCATGTACCAAAGCAAACTGTTAACTGAATTTAGGTTATTATTATTATTATTATTATTATTATTATTATTAAAAAATTGGTTTTCCAAATTTATAACAAACATATCCACAAACATAAAAAGAAAACATCAAAAAACAAGCAAGCAAACAAACAAACAAACATATATCCTAACTGTAAAAATTCTACTTTTGTTATCACTGTTGGTGACTTCCTCAAATCCCCCTGGCTGAGTTTCCATATACATCATTGTAGCAGTTTTCCAAAACTAGTTTCACATAAATTTACTTGGTCCATTAACATCTTTCTTTCTTTTCATTTTGAGTGATATTATTAAGACTGGTTTCAGGACAGCATTATCACCTGAGGAGAGAACCCTGGCTCTAAAATGAGAAGACTCTTACAATCATCAGTGGAGTGGCTGAAGTTTCAATGTGCTACCTGAGACTGAGGACAGAAACTGTAACTTGCTAGTCAACCGGGAGCTGCGAATTTGGTGTGTGGTTCTCTGATCTTAGGGGACAGAATGGCAGCCAGCCAGGGGCAGAGGAAGGGGTGTGCGGTGGGGGCAGTCCGCCCCGGGTGTCTTCGCTGAGGGGGTGACATCGTTTTGACAGCTGGGGGAGACCTGGGAGTCACGGGCGCGTGGTGCGCCAAATGTCCTCCATCGGCGGCTCACTCCGCCCCCGGCTATAGGGTGCAGGCACTGTTCCATGCCCCCAAGTGGCTATTTCATGCCTGGGAGGGCACCCTCTGTGCCCTGCACCCCTCGGGAGTGCGCCCACCCTGGGGAGCACGAGAGGGTGAAATACTTTACTAGAAAAATGAAGTTGCTGTGAGTTGCTCAGTTTAGAACCAGGAAACCGTTCTAATAACACAATAACCTGACTGTCTCGTCCAGCATCCTGTTCTCACAGGGGCAATCAGATGCCTGTGGGAAACCAGCAATCAGGATTCAAGCATAAGAGCTCTCTCTCTTCCTGTGGTTTCTAGCAACTGGTATTCAGAAGCATTGAAACCAGTACGTTTCCGAGCACAATTCAAAGTGTTGGTGCTGACCTTGAAAGCCCTAAACGGCCTCGTTCCAGAATACCTGAAGGAGCGTCTCCACCCCCATCGTTTAGCCCGGACACTGAGATCCAGCGTCGAGGGTCTTCTGGTGGTTCCCTCATTGCGAGAAGTAAGGTTGCAGGGAACCAGACAGAGGGCCCTTTCGGTAGTGGCGCCCACCCTGTGGAACACCCTCCCTTCAGCTATTCTATCTTTAAAAGACATCTGAAGGCAGCCCTGTTTAGGGAAGTTTTTAATATTTAATGCTGTACAGTGGTACCTCAGGTCGAGTACTTATTTCGTTCCGGAGGTCCGTACTTAACCTGAAACTGTTCTTAACCTGAAGCACCACTTTAGCTAATGGGGCCTCCTGCTGCTGCTGCTGCGCCGCCGGAGCCCGATTTCTGTTCTTATCCTGAAGCAAAGTTCATAACCTGAAGCACTATTTCTGGGTTAGTGGAGTCTGTAACCTGAAGCGTATGTAACCTGAAGCGTATGTAACCCGAGGTACCACTGTACTGTTTTTAATCATTTGATAGGGAGCCGCCCAGAGTGGCTGGGGAAACTCAGCCAGATGGGCGGGGTATAAATAATAAATTGTTATTGTTATTGCTGCAACCAACTGTGGAGGCAGAGCATCAATAGCGCTCTCTTCCATGAATGTATCTGGTCCTCTTTTAAAGCCTTCCAAGTTGGGAGCCATCACTGCCTTCTGTGGGAAGTGTGTTCCTTAGTTTTATTTGGGGTTTGCAGAAAGTAATGGCCAGCGATGATTTTTATTTCATTTAAGAAACCAAAACAAAACTCGAGTGCAATTTCATATAACTTTCTAATGTGAGCGGCTAGATGCTGGAAACTAAGGCAGATGGGCTACATTTTACTAAGAATAATAGTACATCCATCATCTGCAAGTTAGATGTTTAAGGCTTAATGAAATATTCCAGCCAAGGCAAGCAGATTTGTTCATATGTCAATAACTGGAAAACTGATTATTTTGCAAGGAAAATAAAGCAAAGAAATAAAATGAGTCAGCCATTAAGACAATCTACGGAAAATTTATGAGTCTGCAAAAAACCCCGGCTTGCTGAGCATTGGAACAAATTGGAAAAATCGAAGAGAAAACTGGATGTGAACCTTTAAATGTGCTTCTGACCTATGCAAAGTGACTTTGCAAACAAAAGAAATAAATGGCATCATATAGTTAATTATTAAATCAGTATACATATGGGGGGAAATCTGTTTGCAAACTCAGCAGGAGCCCCTCCACGCAGTCTGATTTTTTCTCATGTTAATCTTTTAGTCCCAATTTCATTCCTTTATTCATAAGTCTGAAAGCCCATTACCTTAAAGGGTTTTTTAATGCTCTCAAATTTGTCTGAAGTAACACGGTGCAAGTTAAAGCCAGTCAAGTCAGGTGTGAAAGTCTAGCTGAATGCCATACTAAACGTTTCCTGAGAATATTTTGTCTTTGGAAGACAGGTCAAAATTTCATCAAGCGCTGTTTCAACTGGAAACACACTACCTGTGGGGAGGAGGGAGAATAAGAAACAACAGTTGACTGAAAATATAGCACAAGGCAGTAAGACAACATGTACACCAAACATGGAGAAGGTGAGGTAGAGACAAAGAACTGAAGAAGCAATAGAAAGCGGGACTGGGAAGAGATGGAAGGGGCTGTGCCTTATTGGGATACAAGAAGCAGACAGGCTAAGGATGGGGCAGAAAATGTAGGGTTCATTTTCCCTGTTGATGTTCAGTTCCAGGTCCGTCCCCCCCAACACACACACACACACAATATTTCCCTCCCACTGAAACAAACAACAGTGGTTCTGGACTTGGCGTAGAGACCATCTTATCCTGGAAAACCTGCTCCCTGCCTTGCAGTCTTTTTGCTGCCTGGCCTGGGAGGACTGACTCCACCTACAAAACCTGAGGCTGCTGAACAGACTCTTCGGCTGGGGTGCTGTTTGGGGCTTTTTGCTGTAGGGGTGGTGGTTGTTGCTGTGGTTGGTGGGTTGCTGTTGTTTTTTGTATCTTTATTTTAGTTCTTGTGATTTATGTGGAAATTGTTTAGTTTGGCTGTGTATTTTTTTAATGTTTTCCTTATTGTTTATGACTACTATTGTAATGATCTACAGTACCTTGATCTACCATTGCGATCTACCCTCCCATCAGATGTCAAAGAGATAAATAATTATATGACCATACATAAACATCTGAAGGTGGCCCTGTACAGCGGCACCTCTGGTTACGAACTTAATTCGTTCCGGAGGTCCGTTCTTAACCTGAAACCGTTCATAACCTGAGGTACCACTTTAGCTAATGGGGCTTCCCGCTGCCGCCGCCGCCGCTACACGATTTCTGTTCTCATCCTGAGGTAAAGTTCTTAACCCGAAGTACTACTTCTGGGTTAGTGGAGTCTGTAACCCGAAGTGTTTGTAACCCGAGGTGTTTGTAACCCGAGGTACCACTGTATTGGGAAGCTTTTAATGTGTGGTGATCTGTTGTGCTTTTGTATATTCTGTTGGAAGCTGCCTAGAGTGACTGGGGCAACCCATTCAGATGGGTGGGGTATGAAAAAATATTATTATTAAGTTATGTATTTTATGTTGTAAGCTGCCTTGAGCATGGTTTGAACTCTGGAAAGGCAGCATGCAATCAAATTACAAATGTATATTCATGCCTCTCCTGACACGCCCCCCAGAATGCCTCTTGTTTTCCCTCTCCAAGTCGGAAGTCCAACATGGTGGAGGACTTTACCACCACGTCAGAGAGGTGGCATCTCTCTCTCTCTCTCTCTCTCTCTCTCTCTCTCTCTTGGATGGACCTCTTTCTATGCACTGAGAGGGAGAGCCCATGTACCCTTTGATGCCTTCCCAGGGACCACAAAACTGCACCCTAATACATTTTTGGACAGAATTCTTATGGGAGTTTTACTATCTCATACCACAATTGTCATGGGATATCTTGCTTTATAGTGTTTAAACTGCCTGATTCTAAGGATGTGTAATAGAGACCCACAAGACCCACAAGACCCACACATACATATATATTGGATTCCTCCCCCCAGTCACTGATTCACTTAGTTCTTCCCTAGGCATTCAGAGCTGCTTAGGAATCTAATTGCCTACATCACACCCTGATGAGTTGCTTTTCAAAGTGGCAGCAAAGTCTGAAAATCAGAGCCCAAACTTACAAGATTTCAGGCTGTTCCTGTGGCAGATAGAATTCACATTTCAGACCTTAGTTCATCTAATTTAAGGATTTCAGCCACATTACCCAGTCTGCCTTTCATTCTGAAACATAGCATTTTGAAAGCCACTATAGTATGAAAGACGGTCCCTTTTATTATTGCAATAGAAATAATGGGTCTGGAAACTCTTCTTCTTAAGACTGTGAGATGGTTTCATTTGACATCAAATCAGACTCATTTGGATTCAATAGTAAGAGTTCAAGAGTGAGCTCAACTGCCTATTATGGAAATTAAGACTCCGCCTTCCATGAAGACTAAAGAGTATTATCATATTATAGCATAAAAGCCATAACACTTGTGGACTGGTGCAAGTGAACTCTCATGATAGTCTACTATAGGTGCAAGATTAGGAAACACTGAGGATTTTATTACTTACCATGAGTTTAATAAGAGAAGCAAGGAGAAATGACAAGCATAGCTGCAGAAGAGATTGTATTTCTCAGACTTTTTCAAGAATATACAGGATACATATAAACTATATACTGTTGCTGTTTAGTTGTGTCCGACTCTTCATGACCCCACGAACACCAGGCACTCCTGTCTTCCACTGCCTCCCGCAGCTTGGTCAAACTCATGCTGGTAGCTTCGAGAACACTATCCAACCATCTCATCCTCTGTCGTCCCCTTCTCCTTGTGCCCTCCATCTTTCCCAACATCAGGGTCTTTTCCAGGGAGTCTTCTCTTCTCATGAGGTGGCCAAAGTATTGGAGCCTCAGCTTCATGATCTGTCCTTCCAGTGAGCACTCAGGGCTGATTTCCATAAGAATGGATAGGTTTGATCTTCTTGCAGTCCATGGGATTCTCAAGAGTCTCCTCCAGCACCATAATTCAAAAGCATCAATTCTTCGGCAATCAGCCTTCTTTATGGTCCAGCTCTCACTTCCATACATCACTACTGGGAAAACCATAGCTTTTACTATACCTGGAGGAGGAACCGGCAAGCCACTCCAGTATCCCTGCCAACAAAACTCCATGGACAAAGACAACAGGCAACTGTATACTAGGCTTCAGATATTAATAGTGCAAGCACATCAGAGCCAGAGCAAATGGTGATGTGCACTGAGGCCTGAACATGCACTGTTGCCAGGATAATTAGTTGGCATGATGTCACAACTGATAAAAGAGTTCTGCAGTTGCCATGGACTCTTTACTTAGTGCATCTTAGTACTTGAACCTATCATGTTCACTCAGGAGCATAGGCACATAGAAAACTGCCATATGAGCTGGGACTTTGATGGCAAAGGGGTGGAAGGAAGAAGTCCCGACAACAACGGATTGGCATAACAAGCTACAAATATTTGCTGAAACGGTGCAGTTGACAAATATTCTGAGAGGCAATTCAAAACAAAAATGTATGGAAAAGTGGGATAGATATAAGATATATGTTCAAAAATACAGTAAAGGTTCACTACTTATGCTAGCATTCGATTGACGTTGGAGAGAGACTGAGTTGAGAAATAAGACCAAGGGTACATATTGATATAGGAGTGTATTGGATAAAATGTAAAGAAACATACAATAATAAGAGTACATTCATTTGTAAAAAAAAGGAATATACAACGGGATAGACAGGAAGTCCAAAGTGTTGGCATATATATAATTTGGGAGTAGTTTTTTGTCCTTGTTTTTTTTTCCTCCTTTAAGTATATAAACTTTGTATACATGCTGAAAATTATAGTATAATAAGCATAGCTGTCAAGCGTCCATTATTTGGAGGGGCAGTCCCTTATTCCAGCACCATGTCCCACTGCTGTCCCTTATTGATGGATGTCCCTTAAATGATGTCCCTTAAATTTCAAAGGAAGCAGCTCCTCTCCCTCCCTCTGTGCCGGCCAGGGAGGAGGGAGGCTCCAACTGTGTTGCTTGGCTGTGTTGCTCACCCAATAAGAAGTCTAAGAACGACTGGGGGGTGGAGCTTGCATGCCTTGTGCTGATCAAATTGGCTGCATTGCCTGGGGACTCGCCTTTGCTCAGCGCTTCCCAGCGCAGAGGTGACGATGGTTTTCCTTGAGGCTTCGTTTGGCTGCTGGCTGGGCATTCTGCCTTTGGCTCAGAGGGGCTCAGAAGTTGAACATACCTGTGCTGAGTGCTCGGATAGGAATCGGATGGATACGTCATCGACACCCCACTCACCCTTGCCGGCGAAAAGGTCTGTCTGGAGCAGGGCCACATGGTGGGGGAAAAGGAAAGGAGATCTTGGGGGGGGGGGCTTTTGAATTTGTTTTGGAGGCTCCTTCGATTGACTTATGGGGGAAAGAAAGAAGCTGGTTGACTAAAATGGTGGGTGACTGGCGATCTCATGGCGAGGAGGGGAGGCTCTTTGTGTGTGGCTAGTTAATGCAAGCTGCGGGGGTTTTTGAATGCTGGACGCCATTTTGTTGCACATGCTGCTGCAAACTTTGCAGTGCAAAGCCAGGCCGGGGAACCATCTTAAGTTGAGGCTGCATAGGCCTTGTGGTACATGTGATTCAGATTCTATTTACTTGAAGCTCTGGGTACAAAGTTGGTTGGGCAGTGTTCTCGAAGCTACCAGTATGAGTTTGATCAGACTGCAGGAGGACAGGAAGACTAGAGTGCCTGGAACAGGTGAGGCTGCAAGTCCCTTATTTTGGCTGCTGATCCCTTATTTTTGAGGCTGCTGGTCCCTTATTTTCAAATCTATAAGTTGACAGCTATGATAATAAGTCTTGTGATGTAATATGATAATGTTTACTGATGTAACATAAGAACTTTAATAAATAAAACAGCAAAAAAAGATAGGAAAAAACTGCCATATGAATATCTAGCTCACTAATTATTCACCTGCAGCTGCTCTACAGGACCTCAGATCAGTTTCTCTGAGACCTACCTAGAGATGCTGGGGACTGAAGCTTGGACCTTCACAATTCAAAGCAGTTGTTGTTTAACTGACAGCTAAGTTGGTCCTTCCTCAACTAAGTCCCACTTGCTCACTGTGGGTTACTTTCAAGTAAGTGGCCCCATGATTATAGCATTAGTGTTCTCTGAATTTTATTATTGTGTTGTGTGGTGCTGCCTGCTGAGGACAGGACACTTGACCTAGCTTCTGCAAAGAAAGGCACAGCCAGCAGCCATTTTATCCCTAAAACCAGAACGCCATTTTTCATAGCAATCTGGTGAAAAGGTTTCTTAATATTAATGTGGTCAATGATGCTACTCAGAGAGGTGTGTGTGTTTGTAATCTTAGCCTGCATGGCGGCACACCTGTGAGCTATCGACAATTCAGCACACCTGTGGTATGTTAGCAATTT